GAGAGAGAGAGAGAGAGATGGAAGCAGGATAGGAAACTGACCAAAAGGACAGTGAGAAAGGCATGAATGGGAGAGTGAAGAGTGGGGTGAAGTATGAAAGAGACAGGATGGACAGAAATACAGGGGAATAAGAAAGAGGGATAAAACAGACATGGGGAGGTCAAACGGAGAAGAACAAAACAGGCATGATCATGAGCGCGGATGGAAGGAGAGATGAAGGACAGACAGATTTTAAAAAAAAACTGGAGAAGAATAAGTGCAGATAGGGGCAGATAGATATGGACTGACAGACAGGATGATGATGGAGGGATGGCTAATGGCTAATGGCTGAGAAAAAGACTGGCTGACTGGATGAGGTCAGGTAGGTTGGTATGCCAGATGCAGAAAGTGATAAACAGGAACGTCCACTGTAAACAGGGTAAAGGAATTATAAAGGAGAAGACAGGTCTGAAGTCACCAGTATACCAGTGACTCAGTTCACGTAATGATGATCTGCTGCAAACAATACCAATACTTCCTGTTTACACTGACTGTAAGTGTAAATGGTTTAGGCTGCACGTTTCTGATGACATCATGTCAGAGAAAAAGATTCTTTCTGAACAGCTTCGCGATAACAGATGGGATTGTACGAGGTAGTTCGGTCCTAGCTTTCACACTGAAACTGCGTGGAGCTGTCTGGCGCCAAGCAAACCAACTAAAACCTGCACCGTCTGTAGATAAAAACAAATCATTCTAAGGTAACAAAAAAAAAAAAAAAACACTAATGCAAACATAGTTATAAATATTTTATTCCATTTCTGCCAATAGATCCTCCTAAAAGTTACACACTGGACTTTTAAATGAGGACTAGATGCGTAATAAGAAAAAGAAGGAAAGAGACTGAGACAAGAAGGGGAAAGCCATCCCCTCCTTTAATGACCATATCAAAGCATGTATCTGTTAAATTTGGACAAATGAGTCAAGCCTTTGAGTTGTTATGTTGTAACATCCTGTAAAAGTAACATTTCATCATGAAGCATCGTTGTGAAATCACTCGCTCTCCGCTTTTTTGACATCATTAGCGTTTTGAACTTTCTAAGTGGGTGTGGGGCTAGCCTAGCACGATGGTGAAATCCTTCAGTACATTAAATGTGTTGAAGCCACACTGGTTGCACCGGGGCAACTCGCAGGTGTGTGTGTGTGGGTGTGTGTTTGTGTTCAGGCTGCTGCTGAAGTAGCATAAGCACAGTCAAATCTGTCAAATCTCCAAACTCATGTAATGTGTCATTATCTCTTCCTGATTGCGTGGCGTGCTGTGAATTTCAGGGGGATGTGGAAACTCAAACAGATCATGCCTTCAGTTATTGTAATTACAGCCTGAGTGCTGTGCAATCTAATTATAATGTCTGGATAAAATTACAGTAAAGGAATAACAACACTCATCCTGACACTATACTGTTTCATTTGTAAAAAAAAGTATTTCTGTGGGAAGAACTGATGATATATTGTTCCAGTGATGGAGTGAGCCAGGTGTAGTGTTGCATAGATTATTTGATTGTACTGCTATTTAGTTGCAAAGATGCTAAACTGTGTCCACCCTGCTCTATAATTCATTTTGCTGACTCACAGATTTCACAGTAATACAGATATCACCTTTGTAGAAGTACCTGTAGGTTGAAACTGTTTATATACAGTGGGATCCATTTGTGTAACATACAGCAGATGGGGTCATATTTCAAGCTTGCTGACTCAGGGAATCTAAAGCCACTGTGAGGTTGATGTTATGTTGTCTGTTATACAGAAGAAGGATCGTCTCTTTTTGATTTTATGCATTTAAATTGCACTTTTAAGATTAAGGGGTTATCCAATTAGAGGGTCCTTCATGAGGGGTAGCGATGCCTTCTTGATTTTAAGGGGTGTCAAGAAACTTTTTAAACAAATAAATTGTTGTCCTGTGTTTCATTCTATTCATTTCTGTAAAGAAATCTGAATTAAATTATTATTTTAGAAGTTTGGATTATTATTGAAGATATAAACTCATATATAAAGTCCCACGAATAAGGGCACCCTGAAGACCTTTTAACACAATATTAACAAAGCTTTCGGTCTCTGCAAAATCCTCGTCCTGAATTAGAAAAGTTAAAACAACCAAAGAACTAATAGAACACGGCCAAGCATCAGGGAGAAGAAAACACTGAATTTGTCAAAAAAGAGGGCTATTGAGTATTTTGATTGTTAAAAATTACAAATATATAACACGGACAGGGAAAAAAAGGTTGTTCGGTACTGTAATTCTAATTATGTCCACTGTTAATATCTATTATTATTGTTATCCATTAATGTGTCACTCCATAATGTGTCCATTTACTCAATGATAACTCCCTGAAGGAAAAAGGTTGGGGACCACTCAGTTAAAGTATTTCTAAATCTATTACAGTTTTACTCTGTTTAAGCTTAAAAAAAAAAATGTGTTCTTATGGGAATTAACAATAGATAACAGTCAGTAGATAGCGTTGTTATCTTCTTTCTAAATGGCATTATTTAAAATAAAATAAGACGATCATTTTAAGATTTTGCATAATGTCCTCCCTTGTAAGGCAGCTTCAAGATATTCTGACAATAAATGTACATTTTGTAATACAGAGCCAGAATGAAAGAAAGAAAGAAAATGGTATTTAACATTTTTGCTGTTTAGTACAGATAAGTGTGCAGGTGTAAGACTCTTTAATTTGTAGTTTATCTGCATATGAAGCCACCAAACGTTAGCAAAACGAAGGTCAGGGCCTCGGTGCCCTGGCATCATTACTGGGAGCAACAATGACCATGTAGAAGGCAAGTGCTAGGAAAAGAAATCAATAATGGCAAAGAGCAAAGGGAGAAGGGGGGCGGGGGGGGGGATCGAGTGCTGGATTCAGACGAGATGCTGGTAATAGCAGCGGAATCTAAGCGAGATCTCTGCAGCTGGTTTATTCATAGCTAAGTGGCTAGCAGGATTTTCCATAAACACAGAATGACACGTCTCATATAAATTAAACAAAAGAAATGATGTATGCAACTACAAGATTGAATTCCATCAAATTCATCTCAATGAATACATATCATCCTTGTCTATGGCATTCATTGTCACCGTAGGAACCATATGGCTAATAGTTTGCTTATATCGAGCAGTACATGTATGAAATGGCCTGATGTAAAGCAGAGCTGGCAGCTGACTGACGGGCCTGTTATGATCGTACGACCTAAACAGCTTTGGGTTTTAAGACAGTGACTCCTCTTCAGTTATGTCAGTTACCGGGTGATGATTTATCTGCCTCTTTGTCTGGAAAGAGCTCAGTGCAGACCAACCGCCTCAGCCCCTGAAGGAACCAGAGCCAGATCACTGCTGCATGGCAACAGCTGAGGAGGCCTTTCTGCAGCTAAAAAAAGCACAAAAAAAAAAAGCTATGCCTTTGTCCATGTCCAGTTGGCATTATTTTTAGAGCATCTTCGTGAAGGTTTGCCCACATTACAATTTGATGACTCTGAAATGTTTGAGCTCAGGCCACTCCTCTGTTGTGGGTTACTGCTTCTGTTCTGACTCAGGGTCTGTAATGACACGTGGATTTCAGATAATGCTTTTGTGAAGGCTTTTGACCTAGAGAATAAATGACCAGAGGGAGCTGAAAGTGCTCTCATTCTTTCCTCTCTCCTCCTAATCTTGTTCTTTTCTTCTGTCATCTCCTGTAATCGCTGTCTGTAATTGTTGTTACCTCTAACCTCCTCTCCTTTTCATCCTCCATCCATGTAAACCCTCCCACTTCCAGATCAATTGTGTCCTGCTCTCCTGCTATATCTAGTAGTTCCACATCACACACACCGTCAAGTAATATACAGTATTTATCATACTGTAGTACACTGTTAACCCAGTGGCAGACTGTTTTAAAGCTGCAGTAGGTCATTCACTTTCACTATATCCTGACAGATAATCTGTGAAATAATCAAGTTCATCTGGCTCAAAATGGTATTTGCAAGATTCCATAGACGAAAGAAAGAAGAACACAAAAGAAAGTTGATTGTTGAATTGAATCCCCTGGGCGTTAAATACAGATCCTTTGCAACCCTGGGAATGAGACTCAACAATCATCTATCTTCAAGCCTCCAACCCAAAGCATCTTTTTATGTTTTTTCGTACAGGCCTGGTGGATTCTTGCCAATGTCATTAGGAGCACTAGGAGATTTTTTTTTACAGGTTATATGTCTCATGTTAACACAGTTAAAGTTTAACTTGACAAGGTTTAACAATGACAAGACAGGCAGTCTCTCTGTGATGGTTGTTGTTTTGTAATAATTACACTAATATGTCAATGTGAGTGATGATGTGATTACGACACCTTTAGGGTCCTCAGGCCTCTTATGAATGCTAACCTCCTGCTCCTGTTGTGTTTCCTCTAGGCGGATGCTAAGATGGTGTGTGACGTGGTCAGTCGTATGGAGGACACAGAGCCTTACTCCGCCGAGCTGCTCTCCGCCATGATACGTCTGTGGTCCGACTCGGGCATCCAGGAGTGTTTCAGCCGCGCCCGAGAGTACCAGCTCAACGATTCAGCGCAGTAGTACGTACAGCACATGGTTGTTTGTTTGTTGTGTGTGTCCTCTACAGGTGTGTGTATGAGATATTGTTTTAGGAATTATTACAGAGGTAATTGTGACAATTAATTGCAATATTGATTTAAGGTGACATCGCCTAGTGTGTGTGTATGAAGAGTGCTCTACAATGACAAAGTGACAAATGAAAGGTATAAGGGAATTGTGATTTCCCACAGGAGGAAATCCTTTAACAACAGTAACATTGTCAGAAAAGCGCTGAATTTGACATCCTGCTGTCATCCTCCTATAATTTATATCTAATTGACAGCAGCTAGTCTGTACCCGACTCGGATTTTGCTGTTCAATATGAACATTTTATTATTCGATTGTTCACTAAACTCCTATATCAGCAGGTCCTGTGGTGGAAAAGCCACTACATGTTTCTCATGTTTTAGCCTGCCTCGCGTTTACTGCTGTTCTTCATCATCTGTGAAAACAGATTACCACAGTCAGAGAAAGTGAAAGTGTGCAGCGTGCTCAAAGATCATTGTGAAAGATTGTGAAATCTCTGCGCACCACAAAACATCTCTCCTGCCGGGCTGCTGACAGCACCGTCAGCCCAAGAGTCAATCAAAGAGTCAAAGGACGGTAGCAGTGGAGGGTGTATCACTGTCTAGTTTAAAAGTGGTTTAGCCGACTTCACTGACAGTCAGCACCGGAGCAGACAGCGTAAGAGTGGCCGGTTTGTAAAGTTTACAGCCTGCCATGCTGACCTTCTGGGCACAATGTACAGCTAAAAAACAAGCAGCTATTCAACTGACAGAATGCAAGTCTACTTGCAGCCTAACCGTTGATGATTTAAATCATTGAGTTTTCAGGGCAGCCCTAACACCGGCAGCGTAGAAAATGGGCAAACTGAGTTTGTTCCACTTTTACCATCCTAGTGTTGGTTGTGGTCATATGTGGGTGTGTGTTTTTATAGTAAGCAGCAAGGTGTGTGTTCTGAATTTGGTGCTGTCTGTGTTGCACCACCAGAAGTACATTATCACTGACTCAGCACTGTTAGTGTGTGTGTATTCCACCTGCCCACCTCAGTTTTTCATGTTCCCCAGATCAATGCATCACTCATTAGCTGCCCCACATCCCTTAATCCACCCACCCACTATTTATAAAAATAAAAAAACATGCACACACGCCACTGTTTATTTATAATCTTCTGAATGCGATCATACAGTAGCTATTACAACACACAGTCAATCACCCTTACAAGTACTGGGCCTGATTTATGCTGAGTGCCTGTGTGGGTGGAGAGAGAGAGAGACAGCGGGGGGGAGGGTTGAGGGAGTCATTTCCCTCAAGTGCCATGTTTGTGCGTGCAGCCCTTGTTTAATTGTGCACCATACATCCGATGACATTACACAGTGACATAAAGGGAGACTGCAGCAGAGTGACAGATGGAGTCAGAGATCTGTGTTGCTGCATGCAGTGCAACCACTGTATGTACACCACTCACTCTTATAGGCTCTGTTAATGTTATGTATGGGCCTTTTCTTGCCTTTATTGATAGGACAGCTCAAGATAGACGGGGAATAACATGCCGCAAAGGGCCACAGGTCAAATGCAAACCCACTGCCGCTACAGCAAGGACTCAGCTTCGTTACTTGGGAGTATTGTAATGGTGAAAAGCACAAAGTAAGCCCCTCTGGAAGGACTAGTGAATTATGTTTGTTATTGAGTCACTGCGTTATAATATTTATCCAGGGAAAGTCATAGAAAACCTTTGGATTTCTGCTAATATTACTGGGTTCAGTGAACTGGCTGGCACTGTTTGTTAGTCAGGTAATGTTAAGATTTAAACATTTGCTGACATCGGAGGCAGCAGGATGTGTCAGAAATAATGACTGCGCACCAACTGCAGTCCACACATTTTATCCATACCACAATCGAGGACAATCAAGTAGTTGTTTCTGACTTGCTGGCAGGCATTTGTCCTAATCATATACTAGGACACATCAAACATTGCTCAGGTCAACAGTTTAACCACTATTCTAAATGCGTGGAGTGCAACTTCCTGCTGCGTCACGTCTGGTGCAACAAAACTGTGAAAAACGGCACTGATTTCAAAACTGGCCTCGTTATAAGCACCTTTACTTCAACATTATATTATTTTTGTGAGAAGATGCCTCATTATCTGTTAGGTCTTACTTATAATTTAGAGGCAATAGTCAGTACTAGTTCCTGACTGGTCTGTACCGAAATACCGATAAGCTCTTGGACTGGCATTAATGTTACATAAACAGCTGGCTCAAACTCTCAAAAGTGTGTGCTCACCTTACCTAATTAAATGGAAATGCAGTAACTCAGGAAATAGTTTAACCTGTTATTTCTGTAAAAAAGTGATAAAATAACTGTTAAATATTTTCACATCTTTTTGTTTCGTGTCTTTTGCACCAAATGTAGTATCAATAAGAGTATCGATACCAGTATTAATAAAACAATACCATCACTAATTTTAAAAAAACTTAAATTTCTAATGTTAGAATTAAAATGAGAAGAGACCACATCTAGAGATGAGATCAAATGCACCATTTGGAGGGGAACCTGCCAGCTGAAACAAGTGTCCAGACCAAAGCTAATAGAGGCAAGTTAAAACAGAATAAATAGAGGGGACTGAAGAGAGCAGAGAAGAGATAAGAGAGGGAAAGTTAAAGGTGGGGAATTCAAACACAGGCTTAGACAAAGAAAGCACATCAAAGTGACTGATATGAAGTGAATGATACGGGCTGCAAGACAGATGAGACTAAAAAGGCAAGGAAAAGGGGCGAGTCAGTAGGTCAGGAGTGATGAGAGAGCAAGAAAAGGTGGAGAGTGAGAGAGCTGCAGGACTTTATTTATCATCATGGCAGACATCTTGGAAAGAGTGCAAACATATTCCTATCAACATGTGCTCAATTAACTTAAACAACTTCGGCGCTGTGTGCGAGTATAAGCGTGTGTGCGCGTGCATATGCATGCCTGTGTGTGTGTGTGTGTGTGTGTGTCTGTGTTAAATGTCACATTAAAGATTGATGCACACTTCCTATTATGTTGGTGCCTGTGGAGCAGAACAGGCCAACGAGCCAATGAACTGATAGGACAGATAGCACATGATCAGACCACACTCAGTTTGTGTGTGTGAAGGTGTGTGTGTGTGTGTGTGTGTCTGTGTGGGTGCTTTTCTGTCTCTAAAATCCCTAACAGAAGAAAGTCAAGTATATATCTCCTCCTTTGAAAAGGCTTTTTGGTTGTCAGGTGATACAGTGAGGTTAAAGGTGTTTGTTACAGGCTTATTTGATTTTATTTGGTGAAGAAGGCTATGATAGCAGTCAGGAGTTTTTGTGTAGGTGTGCATGCAGTGTGTGTTTGTATTACATAGAAATCAGAAAGCTCTATTCTGAGAGGAGTAACTACTGCCTGAAGCCACCTCTCTCTGTCTCTCTCTCTGTCTCTGTGCAAATGCCCTGCATGTACTGACCTATTTACCACAATACACAAACACTCTGTTTATGGTTTACATCCCCTGCCTTTATGACACAGGGGTATGCATTTACTCACTTGGCATCAGTCACATCCTTTACTGTGTATGCACACATGACATTAAGATGCCATATGAAGTAGTTAAATGGGCCCTGGACCAGTATGGCTTTGGTGCTTTGGTTTATTACGCTGAAAGACTGCAACATTAAATAGATCAAGTGCAGAGTACCCACTAATAGCAGGCGATCTGACTTGTATACGTGTTTAGAGCTAATTGAAGTTAAATGTCAGACAAAATGGCATTGTTTACTACAGATATCGATTCTGCATCTTGCGTTGCATTTCATTATTTAACATCACTGAACTTGGAACCAGGTAATAATGTGAAGCTACTACAGCTGTATTGATCTTAATAGACAAATATAGTAAATCTTGGTGCTGGTGGGTACCGTTATTTGTCCATTGCTGGCTTTAGAAAGTTGTTCACCTTGCCTCACACTTCTCGGGCTCAAAGGCTCAATTTCGAAATAGATGTGGTCAGTGTTGATTTAAGACGTGCCTTGAAGCGCGTGTACACTACCAGTGAGAAATTTCCTGGTTTATCTTCTTCTTCTTTCTGGGCTAAATAATGAGAGAGCTTTTTCCACTATCGATTCAGAGCCCTTTTATGTTGCGGCCACAGGTCGTATCATGTTGTATCATGTCCCTGCAGCCTCTGTAGTAGTCACAAGTGTCAGTTATAAATATGTGTTGAAACATCACAATGAGGCAGATGTCTGACCATGTAAAAGCCGGTTACTTAGCGACAGTAACCGACACCGCTCTTGGTCTGAAACTATACGTGCCATATAGACATGTTTTATGGTATATTTATAGGTATATGAATTCTGCCATAAAATACATTGGTATGATTAAAATATATTTAATGTTAAAATCCTATTTTCACACTTAATGATGACATTTCTTAACAATGTTACAAAGTGCTGTACAAAGGAGAAAAAAAAAGAAGGCCGATAAAATGACAAAAAGAAACATGAGCACAGAAGTAATAAAACAATAGAATGAATAAGAACAAATAAATAGGAATAAAAACATATTGAATATTTCCAAAAGCTTGCACAAAAAGAATCAAGAGATGTCTGAGTGTGGGGAACATACCGTGACCTGGGAATAACCAGCCGGGCTGCAACCGAGGAAGGTCTGAAGAGTCGGGTGGCACATGCAAGGATAATAAATCCGAAATGTATGTGGGAGCAAGTCGGTTTAACACTTTAAAAGGGAATAATAACGTTTTAAAATCAATTCTAAATTTGACAGGTAGCCATTGTAGGGAGCCAAGCACAGGGGTGATGTGTTCATATTTGACGTTACTGTATTATTAAGCACATGTCGGTCCTTGTGACCCCTGTTTGATGGGTTACATGTCTGTAGTGAACCACATGCCAATGTAAATGGCTAATGTATGGTCATTGAACTTGAGTTAATACAGCAAGGGATCAATATGACTGTGTTAGAAGTTGGCTCCCGCTCGCCTGAATACTTCTCATCTCTCTCACTCTGCTGGCCTTTAGATGTTCCTGTCTCGCCTCGCTTTCCTATTCTTGTACATTCTCCACTTTCCACTCCAAACTACAAAGAGACTATCAGTCCTCTTTAGCGTCAAGCCACTGTTTTATCAACACTAGTGCCTTAGTTGATGTTAATTACTGGTCAGTGCGTGACTCTTTTTACACATTACATGCAGCAATACTGAAAACAGAAGAGTCTGTAACAGAAGGAGGGTGGTGTGTGTGTTAACAGTGTTATGAGAGTGATGTTGAATATCGCAGCTTGTCAGGAGAACTTTTCAATGCTGGATACAGACACACACACACACACAATCTGTCATCCTCGTTGTTATCACCTCGCAGACAACATTCTCTCCGGTTGTCTCCCTTTTTGTGCCGTACACTCTTCCAGTGATAATCTCTAATACTGTACATCACCAGAGAACTGAGAGAAGCATACACTGGGGTCTGGTGTTAATCGACTTAGTGCACCATGAAGAGTAATATCAGGATGAGGAAAAGGACTAATGCAGTGGTGGTCTGCATACTATATGCTATCTAAAAACCAGGCAACACGAGCATGCAAAAGTCATTAACCTGGCTAGGCATGATTTAATCTAATTTGAATTGCTGTGTGTGTACTGCCCTCAGGGGACAGCAGTTCTATACATAAAACAATGGCACTATTTGTGTTCATGTAAGTTCATGTCAGAAGTATTATTCTTGAAACGTGGCTGCAGGGTGGAAGCGGTGAACGGGAAGAGCAGACAGCTTCTCTTCAGAGAGGGTTCAACCTCCCGTCAGAGGTCACAACAATAACGGCAACTTTTACTGACCTTTCTTACTCAATAGTCAAATATCTAAGTGCAGCCTTATAGTGTTTTTCATTTTCATTTCTTCATAGCCAGTGGAGTTTGACAGGAAATAGACAGCCAGGGGAGACATTACCGAACAGATACTGAAGTGGTCAAAAATAAGTACAAGATTCATTGAGATTCATTGACAGCTTGAGAGGACACTGAACACGCATTTTATAATGCTTAAAAAGGCTGCAACTAGCGATTATTATTATTATTATTATTATCAGTTAGCCTGCTGATTATTTTCCTGATAAACCAGTTAAAAATGTTTATTCTATTATAATTTCCCAGAGCCCAACAGTGACGTATTCAGATGTCCTCTTTCATTCTACAAACAATTTGCAACCCAAAGATATTCAGTATTCATATATGACAAAGAAAAGCATCACATCCTCACATATGAGAAGCTGTAAACGGTGAACGTAATGCCTAATCAGTTACCAGAGTAATCAGCTAATCGATTCAGCCCTATCTCCTTGTGCCTTACACATGTGACTGACTCGTCTACTCACTGCCTCCCTGTCTCTCTTTAAATTTCTCATTGTGTTGTGTACGAACCTATATCTGGAGCACAGCAGTGTTGGAAAATGAAGTGAGGGCTGTAGGACTGTAGGATGGGGCTTAATTTCTTCTAGTACAGTTGAGTATCTGAGTATCCAAGGTCCAGCAGATCATTGTGGCTCAAAAAAACCTCCCCTTTAAGCTCTTCCTATCTACATCCTCTCCAAACACCAAGCTCTAAGCCATATTCCTTTCTGTGTAATCAATAGTTCTTATCACTGAAGCTGTGTGAGCATGCAGTGTGTCTGCACTTGTGTCTTTGTGTGTGTGTGCGCCAACCACTTCTTGTTACCATCAGCCCAGTATCTCTCTGGCCTTTTATCTTTTTCTTTCACTTTTTTAGAAGCAACTCGGTATCCATTTAAAAGCTCTGAAACAACACTTTAGCCAATCTATAAAGACTTTACACCATTACATTAGAGGGCTGCATGATGTGGGTATATGTCTGGCTCATCTCTCCTGCTCGTCTGTCTTTATGTATCTGTCAGCCCCTCTCTGTTGGCTTAGAAAACTAATATTTTCTTTAAAAGGATGTTGTGTGGAAAAATAATTAGCATTGCCGAGGCCTCGCTCTGCAGCAAGATGGGCATTACACCATTGTCAGCGGAGGCAGAGAACATGGCATTAAAAAGAACATAACGGACACCTGCCAGCCAGTCAGAATTAAAGATTCTCAGGGGCAATGTTGTAAAAGTGAATACGTAATCAAGTCATTCCTCTTTCTTCACTGTCTCCCTTATTCTCTGCCTGATGGTGGGGTGGATTAATACTGTATGGAGGTAGAGTGATCCCTCAGCCAGAGAGCCACCCTCCGAGGGCTGTGAGATGAATCTCTGAACTGTACTATTCAGGATTATTTGATTTATACTACATTAAAAAATAAAGGTCCACTTCCAGGGATATTCCATTACATAACTCAACAGAGTCATCTCACCCACCCACTTCCCTTTCTCACTTCTTACCAAGTAGCTACTCAACGTGGTAACTTCGTTTCCATATGCATGTTATCGGCCAACCAGGGCTGACAGCCTTTAATTGTTTAATGTGTAGGAATCAGGGAGGTAAGGCAGTGTTTTGATGGGAAACTGGCCACTCCTTTGGACAGCTTTAATTAACACTTAAGACTTTCTGTATTCCAGGAAATAAAAGTAATTAGATTTAGATAATTAGATAAAGTCCTGTCAAAGGAAAGGGACGGATCCTTTACCGTTTGTGGCAGGATTGATATGTAGCTAATCCTGACCTCTGACCTCCAATAGAGGGAGCAGTAGATAGAAGATTACCCCACTGCAGTCAGTAGCACATTTACCATCATTATTAATGACAGTAATCCAGTGGGTTGGTGTCATATTCTGCGTGTTATGTAATGTTTACTGTTTCACCCACCTGAGCCATAACATACATCATCACACCTTAACGCAAAGTGGATTTCAGCAAAGCAAGTGCATCCGTGTTAAGTAATCATACCCTTACTCCGTCAGTGTGATCAGCAAACTCTAGCCTTTGAGCTACTTAGGTCTACATGAGTCTAAAAGGTGAGATGCATGGAGCTACTAATGGATTTGTGGCTGACTTCAAAGGAAGACAGACACAATTATAACCATCCTCTAAAAGACCAGCATCAGAACTGACCATTCACTAAGCCCTGCACCGCCCAGTTACTGCTGCTACAGCTGTCCAGCTTTCTGTTTTTATTATCAGATATGCAGTTTACATTGATTTGACATTGAAACTGTGCGTCCTTGATTATAGACAGAGGTAGACAGAAGCAGCCTTTATTTCCAGCTCATGACTGTTTATTTTGTCTGCTGAAAAGACAACTGTCACTAGCAGATTTTATCAGCTTATTACGCTAATGTTAGCTCCAAGAGTGGGTTGAAAAGGCTGTCTCTGGCTGACTTTATGATGTTTGCAGCTGAATTGTTTTGAACAAGAACCCTCTAAAACCTGTTGAAGGCTGCAGGCATGATATTGTGATACAGGGCCGAGTCATTGTTTTTGTACAGCAGTGTCGAGCTGGTTAGTCCTCGTATTGTAGGTATGAGCTGAACAGCTAAGCTGCCCTGCAAAGGCAAACCGCAGTGGCTACAATTTAGTTCAAAACTGAGTTATGACTGAAACTGAACTTTTGAATGTCTGTTTTGTGACAAAAGTTTAGTCTTGCTCTATCAAAGAGAAAGGATTATGTAAAAATTGCAGGAACTAAAAAAAACTCCAAACAAAAACCAAACCACAGTAAGTTACTGCGCTGTTCCTCGGTCTCTAATCTTAGTAGGTAAACCTCATGAAATAATATGTAAATTCTTAATTACTCTATTTAATCTATTTACACATGAAACAATATTAGAATAGACATCAAACTACATTTAGATTTTGGAAGAAGACACTGAAACTGTCACTGTGCTCTGTCTTTGCACTACGTTTATATCTATTTATGGAAATATAAAGACAGAGTTCAGTATCTGCATTTTTGGGGTCAGAGGTCAAATAATTGGTCATGAAAATGACTTAGTGAATACAGATTTAATAAGCACATAGCCACCAGTCTACCTAAAATGCATTTGGCTGGCCAGTTGTTGTTTGTTCTAACGTAATCCTGTTGAGCCGTTCGCTTACATACTCGTTCTTATTTTCACAAAGTATGTTTTCACTTGCATTCTTATCTTGGGTAACATGATCCTCCTAACTCTTTAAATGCCAGGTATCCCTCTCACTATAGCCCCATGTTCACCACTTCAGCATGTGGACAAACCAAAGCTTGACAGGCCTAGTTACAGTAACTAAGCTGGAAGTCCATTGCTGCTCATTTACAGTCTGTGTCTTTGTTGTGTGTGTCTGTGTGCAGCTACCTAGACAGCCTAGATCGGATTGGTGCGCCAGACTACCAGCCCACAGAGCAGGACATCCTGAGGACCCGAGTGAAGACCACAGGCATCGTCGAGACACACTTTACCTTCAAAAACCTCCACTTCAGGTCAGTATTGACTTCAGGCAGGGACATTTGTAACTTCTGATTAGTCTTTATCATCTCTGGGTCTGCTCCTCTATCCATGCGTACAGCAGGAAATCCAGTCTGTAATTAATACGATTAAATGCTTTAAACAAGTGTCTATATTTGTGATTGTCTGTCTTTATAATGAGACTTGATTCAATTAGAGCAAGGAGCTGTGGGAATGATGACAGCAAGGAGGGGATGTTGGGATAGAAGGAGGAAAGGGAAGAGAAAAGAAAGAGAAAAGAGGGGAGGAGTGTCTTTCTTACCTCTAATTTAATTACCCTATTTCTGCATCTCTTGTGTACCTGTGTTTACACACACACACACGCATTCAGAGAGGTTAATAAGCTGTAGACACCAGTTATTTTTCTGAATGGATGCACCATTGCACTTCAACTTTGTTTCACTTTCTGTCTCAGCCTTTCTCATACACACACACCATATGTATCATGTGTTGATATACATTGACACACACTCAATTTAAACAAAGAAGAGAGATGTTAGTCCTGCTGAAGGGTGCTTTCTGCTGTGTGTGTGTGGCAGCTGAGTAGGTGGTTTGCTGGGTGTGTTTTGTTGAGAAGCCCTAAATATTGTCAGCTCAATTGCTATCACTGGCAGTCAGGCAGTGTGTGGGAGTCTACAGTGTTCCTGTACTGGGTGTAACCCATCAACCTACCTACCATTATACCCATCACATATAGGCCTGTTTTTGATCGTGATTAGATAGACAGGAAGGGGGATGCATCAAGCAGCCATTAAAGAATTCAGCCTTAGTACATAGGACGCGCCCTCTGGTATGTGAGCTACCAGGGCGACACAAATTTTGAGTATTTGTATGGACGCCTTTAGACAGCAAAAGAACAAGAAAATCTCAAATGCCGGATAGATGTAGTACATACAGTGGTCACACTCCAGGGCTTAACAATAAGGATCTGAAAAATTGACTTTGAGCAAGTACATTTCTGACTCAGTTGCCAGGTCAGGCACTCTCTTATAGGAGTGTAATTGTACACAAAAAGTACATTATGTACCTCAACTTTTGGAGTTATGGTTTAGTATGTTCTTGGTACAGGAGAGAAAACCAAAACAAACAAACAAAAAAAGAAAAGATGTACATAAACATTAACAGTATCTCATTTGTTCTGTTGAATTCTTACTAGAACAGTTAATGCACTCAAATACTGACATATTGCCAATAAGAAGACACAAATAAAGTCTGAACTGTTGATAACTGTGAAGCTTGCACTCGTTTATAGAGGGCAGGACCAACGGACTGATTAAAGCTAGGATAGGTAACACTGGAGAGACTAGACAAAAAAATCACAGCCCCTCTCTTCAGGCCTCCCTCCAAAGCCACTTCTCAAAAGACTCAAGCTTTAGAATTTGCGTTCCTTTTGTGCGAGTACGTAAACATAAATAGACTATTTTGCCAGTAATTGTTTGGGTCACAGGGCGCACCGAACCGAGCCAGTCCCATACCGAACCAAACGTCCTATACGGGGACGAATACACTTAGCGTTACACCCCTACACTCTTTTATTTACGGTATTACTCATAACCAGTAATACCACACCACATCCAAAAGATAAAGGGAGAAAAAGGGACATGAAAACTGCCAGAAAAAGCATACTTTAGAGACACTGACTGAGCTTGAGCCCAGAAAAAGAAAATAAAAGAGTGAAAAGGAGAAATATTGAGAACACACTTGGGTACAACAAGTGTGATAACAAAACCTAAGGTTTACAATATCAGTTCAATGCAAGATAGAGAACCACTTTATGAACTGGGAAGAACGCCAGAATTGTCACATATGAAAGTAATGTGCCACTGCTGGAATAATGAGCCAATAGACAAACAGAAACCAATAACTGGCCCAGTTTATAAATGGACCTACAAACTGAGAATGCTACAGAACCTGCTTGGCTTCAGAAGTCACCATCTTTCCACTTCTGTTTAGATAGCAGCAAATGTTTTATAGGTTCAGATGTGACCTGACTATGATATAAGAATGAAAGAAAAATGTGTTTGTGTGGGTTTGTACATGTGTGATATTCACATCCCTCTCTCTGTGCATCAGGCTGTTTGATGTGGGAGGTCAGAGGTCGGAGAGGAAGAAGTGGATCCACTGTTTTGAGGATGTCACAGCCATCATTTTCTGTGTGGCGCTCAGCGGATACGACCAGGTGCTGCATGAGGACGAGACCACGGTAAGGACAGATGTTCATATGTGTATGTTCATTCTCACTCCATCTCTCTATCCCTTTCTCACTGATGCCTTTTCTCTGTCACTCTGTGGCCTTATGACCATTTCTAAATATTGGAGCCCAGGAGGACTATATCAAATAGCTTCAGTAATGTTATTTTATACATTCATGATGTTGGACAACATAACCTGATACATTCTGACACAGGCTATGTAAAAGCTCATATAAAGCTAGAGTATACGCTTGTTCTCTATGTAGAAACGATGTGTAAGCTGACATCAAACGCATGGTCTGTGTAAAAGCTTGAGACAGGGAGGGATAAATGTCGGTGAAGGTCGTCAAAGAGCTGCTTAATACATTAAGGCACGAAACTCTCAAAATGTTTATTCATATTTTATGGATCTTTTTAAGGAATAACAAGTACAGACAGACATATCTGCTTTTATCTTTTCTCTCATCTTGCATCTCTATAATATCTGGTGTTATTTAATAATACTGAAGCAGCAGCACTGGTCTGCCTTCTCACTTTCCCTACGAACACAGTGTGAATTTCGGGGGATTCTATCGTGTTTCCTCTGGATGTCCTTTTGGTACGCCATCCTGAACGCTGAACTCTGATGTCATAACAGAACATGTAAATAACAAAATAACACTGATGGCCACATTCAAAATACTAGTGAATTGTTTACCAAAATAAGTAATCCCACAGTGCTCCGTCTCTGGTGAAAACACTGTTGGATGGCTTCAATGCAAACGGGTTACGGTTATGCCTTTTTTTCCTTCTATCTATGCAAATCCTTCCTCCCTCCATTGACGCTGCAAACCAAGTTGCATGCTGGTCAAAGCAAATGATCTGTATTTTTATATATACTTGCAAATGATGTAGACTGTACAATCTAAGATGTACAGTAAGTGTAGAAATCCTCCATGAAGGGCTGGCGCCCCGCGTATCAAGGCTAAGACCTTGGTGCAGCAGCAGTGGGTTCAGATCTGACCTGTGGCTGTTTGCTGTGCGTCATCCCCTATTCCCCTTCTATCTAGCTGTCCTATTGAACAAAGGCAAAAAAACCCCCCAAAATATAGGAAAAAAAAGAAAAATACCGAAAAATAAATAATCTATGAAGTATTTGAGCTGTATTCACTTTAGTTACTTTACTTGAAAGGACATTCAGTCAACAAATTAACACTGATTATTTATTTATGTATGATTATTATTGGTAAGTAAAAACAATTTAAAAAAATTACAATTTCCTTTTTCAAAAACATGATTTACCACGTTTGAAGTCAATGTGTGTGTATTTCAAGGGTTCTGAAGTGGAAGTGCAAACCGCAAACAAGGAAACCTGCACACCTTTATCAAAAGGTCTGGGTAAAGAAGCATTTCACCCGTGGAAATATTAATCTTTATTGAAAGTGGGTTATATATGTAGTCGAAATGTAACATAAATTTTGAATTTGGTGCCTATTTGACCGAGAAAAGAGTGTTTGTAGTCTCACCCCCTCTACAAAAGATATGAACTTCCTGCTTCCAGTGATGCAAAATGAACGATTTTTACATTCATTGGAAGGCAGGAAGTGCACACTGAATCAGTATTTCTCCCGTCGAAAATGAGGGAATGGTGCACGACCATTCAAAAATATGACTGGGTTTCTAACGATACAAAGCTTAATGCAAATGGGTGAAGTGTCCCTTTAAAATAAGCTCTGGGAATAGTCAAACACAGGCTCTGTGTTTCCTCAGCAAAGCGCCACAACCTGCCATGTGGCTGTAGAGATGATTATATGTAACCCAAAACAAATAAGCTGATTTGAATGCACGGTGCTCACTGCTATTTATAAGCCTGAAGTGTGTCCTCTGAGAATTCCAAGCTGGGAAATTGTGTTCAGTAGCTGCTCTATTTATGCAGATGTCGTCAAGCCTCCCTCTGAGCTGGGAGCTCCAAAAGAACGTCAGATGAAAAGAGAATATATCCATCATAAAAACGCACTTCTAGTATGTGTGCTGCACATCTGAATCCATTTAATTGTTGTGTTTTGTTTTTTTGTGTTCTTGCAGATGTCTGTCCAAATGTAGGGTCATGGGGATATTTTGAGCACAGCTGCTCTGGTGGTTGATAGCAAGAAATGTTTAAGATACATACAACGTTAATGGTAAACATAATTTCAATCCCTGAGCATATACTGTAGGTGCAATGACTCCAGGAGGAAATCCATGGTAAAAAAAATAGCAATTTTTCCTCTGACAGTACCTCAGTAGATCATATTTGAGTACAGTGTTGTTTTACAATGAGATTGTGGACACTATTACATTCTCACCAGCACAGCCCACAGCTATACAAGTTCCAGAAAAGAAATAAAACATCCCAGATTCATATCTGTTCAGACAACATTAATAGCAGTTCTGCTCATTTTTGTTTTTCATCCGTGAGACAGTGTTCTGATCAACATTATGTGTTACCATTAAAGAGCAAACACTAGCGTAGGAGTTCTAATTACCAGGCAAATAACAAATGTTTTTCGGCAAGCGCCCACAACCTCCGTCAGTTCTGCTACCAGGCATGTGATTCAGAAATTACAAGCACTGTGCACAGTAAAAATATTCTACAATCAGACATGAGAGATAACACCCCCTCCTCAGTGATAAAGTGATACATATATCCTTTTTGGGATCCTACATTATATATTTAATGTGTATATATATGGTATATGGTTTATACACAATGTTTGTAGTTGGTGTGACTTCCAGTATGTCAAAGACATGTGACATAGTTTTCGCAAGTGGGTAGAAAGAGGTTTCTGGAGATTCCTAAAGTCATGTGACAACTAGCATGAGCATTGTGGTCCGAAAATTAGAAGAGTCATAGTCATAGTATTTTAGCATCAGTTGAAACAAAGCAGTTGTTCTGCTGAAACAAATATGATAGTACATAGAAGATATCAGGCCAATAACCATAAAGAACAGGCTCTTCTCAGAGATCATCCATTTGGTTTTAAGACTTTTAAAGGCCTTTTTAATACCACATAGAATTATAGTTACCATCTTGCACAATCATACCGTCCACAGTATGAAAGTGTGATGGAAAGCCAGTAGGGACAATATGGCCTAGAATTATTCATTATTATATAAAGTTTTTTCACTACTCCCCAGCAATATATAACAATGATTCCTAATGATATGATTATTTGAATTAATGTGACCTGGACATGGATAAGTGGCATAAAATGGATGAATGGATTAACCAATGAAAAATGATTCATTTATTCAAGTTGGGTTTTTGCTAACATTAACACTTGCACATTATGAGACAGCTAGCAGTTGTGATGGTGTTTGTTGCAGGTCTGATGGTGCTCACAGAAACTAAACACAAAAAAGGATTGAACAGCTTCCTACACAGTCGCCTGTCACAACAATCCCACGGTACATAACGTCTCCAACAGCCTGCGATCAGATAGAAAAACATTTTATTACTAACATTATTACCTGTGCTAGGCAAGAGCACATATTTAAGAAGTCTGTGAATTCAGTTTAATCATTCAGTACTTTTTAAAACCTTTGAAGACCTGCAGATACAATGTAATTTGCAGTACCTGTGTGTAATCGAATAATACTGCCAGATTGTGAGTTGACAGAACAGGTTGTCTGTTTTGTTTGTAGGATTTTTGTCCTTTTGAGAGGACAGTAAAGTTAAAAAAAAGACCACCTCACTGGTCCCATTTTAAAGGTTTTGACTATATCTATAAACATCTGTGTGCTGTATGGACACACACACGCACATGCAGTACGACACACTACTTTTGCTTTGTAATTCCCTTCTTTCTATTGAAGAACTGCTTGCGTTGTGTTTTTCTCTGTCTCTCCTTGTCTTGTTTTTGTGAAAACACGCACACAGAGACTAGAGTCTGAAATGACAGCCGCTCTGGGTGAACACTGTCTGGATAAAGTCCTGTCCTCCTGCCTCTAAACACTTTCTTTTCAGCACTAGGGGTGTGTACGCGTGTATGTGTGTATGTGTGTGTTTTGGGCAAAGGGGGTGTCATTTAAAGGAAGTGGAACGTGGCTGGGTGGGCGGGTCCCTTGCATTTTCTGTTCCTGCTCTAAGCTCCGCCCTGCAGCATCTCTGGCTCCTTCCGCTCCTCCTGTCACTCTCGCCATCGACTGTCCTCTCTAACCAATCAGCAGTCAGATCTTCTACAGATGCTCCACCCACAGACAGGTATGAAACCTCCCGATAGGTTGATACATTCACCATGAGTTGAAAGCAGTGCCTCTTTCTGTTTGTCAGATGTTTTATTGTAGACTATCTTACCTATCTATCTTTCTATCGGTCTATCTATCTGTCGGATTTCGGACTGTCTGATCATTTCCTTATTTCTCTAAATTATTGTCTAGCTATTTAGTCTTCCTCTCCAACAGTTTCAGTTTCCTGTAAGCTGATCACCTTTTCTTCCCTCTCCAGTCCTAAACTGGGCAATAAAGGATCATAACCAGAGAGAAACTGCTTTCAACTCATTCTTAAAAAGAATCCGTTTTCATCAATAGGCACTTTTATAAGCAGTGTTGACAGGTTTCTTCACTGACTTTTTTTACTTGAGCTAAAATTTAATGCCAACAGTTGGTTTGCTTATCACCTTCTACAGATTTCATTAGCAAACTGAACTGTGTTCTGTAATTTTATAAGGAACACAATCGAGACCTGCTCTATTTGAAAAGTGTCCTGAGATAACCGCTGTTATGATTTGGTGCTACACAAATTAATTTCATTTAATTTCTGCTGAGAATTAGGCGAGGTATACTAATTTATAAAGCACTGTTGCTAACAAAGCTTTCTGCCAGCTGCCAACAACTCAATCTAAAGAGCCACAAATCCCATGATCTACTAACATTGAAAAGTGCCTAATGATGAAAAATCTAAAATTATAAAATTAATTTAATCTTTAATGTATTAATCATAGTTTTTGTTGATCAACCAAAGTTTTCATGCTTAGTAACCATTTAAGCTGCATTTTGGATGCTAATTTAGCAGTGTTTACATCCATGTCTTATATGTTTTTTTAATATAGCATTTATTATTATAGTATTATGTACTACTTTTACTACTTTCATACTAAAATGCACTTGTTGTATTTGGCCTCAGAAACATGTTAAATATTCGACCCCAGAGAACATTTGCAAAGCTTTGAATTTGTTGTGTTGTTGACATTAGCTTGTTTGTTTGGTACGCTGCTACCTTTATAATTCATTACCTCCACAAACTGTTGCTGCCTATTGCAGTTCGCAGAAATGTAGATTACGTAACCCTCTGCTCACTGTGAGCAGGTTATGTCCTCAAGCACATGATGTAGAATACTTAATGCACTCAGTACAGAGCATTGCTGTACAGCGCCCCTAGTGGTCAAAAGCTCCACAGGGCACCCTTAAGTTATCGTTTATCCACGGTTATATACTTCCGGAAAAGTACGCAGTGGCTCACAGCTTAATAAGTGCATGGCTTTGTTTAACTCAGCTGAAACAACCAGCTCACTAATATCTTCTATTACTCATATGTTGATACACAGATGCTCACACACACACACACACACACACACACAAAAACCAACTCACTATGCAGAAGTAAATGCTGTGTCTATAGACAGGAGGAACTCCTCAGTACCTCTGTTCCTCCTTCTCATTTTTATTTACTCAATTCCTCTTTGTGTTTAAATGGTGCGTATGTGATGTGTGTGTTCTCCATTTGGCTGCTTGTGCACATGTGCTTTTGGAACACGTGCATTCATTCGTTATGCCTGTCTGGTTGACATTTTTGGGTGTGAATCCATGTGTTTGTGAGCATAGTGTGTTTTAAAGCCCATTTAACGCTTGCTAATGTCTCTTCTACAGAACCGAATGCACGAGTCTCTGAAGCTGTTTGATTCCATCTGTAACAACAAGTGGTTTAAGGACACCTCCATCATCCTCTTCCTGAACAAGAAGGACATCTTTGAAAACAAGATCTGCAAATCACCTCTGTCCATCTGCTTCCCTGAGTACACTGGTACATATCCAAAATCTTGAGAGCGATAGTTTATAACTAGTTCATACTATATACTATATAATTTGCATGGACACTAGTAGGCTGCTGAGGTAGAGCGTCCCCCACCCAGTATTCACAACCATTTAAAGAGTAGCTTTGTTTTGGGTTCTTGATAAAGCATTTTAACGCTAAACCTGTGAACATCTTTGTGTAGTCACCAAGAAGTCTGATAGGCCAAGTTCTACCCCATTATCCTTACCTCTTCCACTCGCACTGTTTTAAAGCTAGAGTGAAGATACTAGTATCATATGAAACTGAATGACCTAACGCATCCATTGGTACCAACCAGTGTTGGTAAGGGGTTAAACAACACTCCAAAGTTAGGCTAAATTTTGGCAAAAGAAAAAAAAAAGGATCCCTTGACATCTGCCCTCAATATATCTAAATGAAAATGGGTTCTATGGCTCTCCCCTTTGCAGACATGCCCACTTTATGGTAATCCCATGCAGCTGTGGGCAAAAACCTACAGTTTTTTTGTATGTGGTTTAAATGTATTATTTTTGCCTAGTGTATTTGAATATTTCTGCAGCCTGGGGTCCCTAAACAGTATTGGAATTGCATAAATTGGTAATAACTGGAAAGCTGAGACACATACTACATGCCACCCCTGCATAAACCAGTGCCCCACTTGTGCCACCGCAGTCAAAAAAGTCTGGACATGCCCCTGTCCAACAGCAAATTTTCTTACATGTATCAAAAGTACTTTCATACCCTTCACTGGACTGTTTGGTGCAGTTGGTGTTACAGTTGTCCAAACGATTGCCCCATCAAAAGCTGAAGCAGTATTTGACAAATGTTCCCACTTGACAACCCACTGCAGGCTGCTGTTTGAGAAGCAACATGTCCCAGCTACATGCCATTTGGGGGACAGTGTCTGTTACTGCACATTATGGCTCTTTATAGCATTCACCAAGTTAGATTATTACAACATGCCATCTCACCAAATGTATACTTAAATTTGCTTTCCCTTTTAAATTACAGTTATAATGGTTACAAATGTAAACATATTTGTAACTCCTGTAGCTTTATTTTTTATGTCAAATTAGTCGTGCCATAAATGTTTTTTAAAATCTGTAATACAAGAACTTGTGTGACCAGGCGAGCCAAATTGTTTTCCTGCCACGGATGAGTAACTGTGCAGCCAATGAGCACAAGTCAGCGTACAGTGTCATTTTCAGTGGCTGCAAAAAAAACAACATGGTGACGGCCATAATGCCAAACTCGAGGTTTCAGAACAGTACACCACAAACCAATGGGTGAGAGACAGACAACACAGGGTGAAACAACAGAAAGTGAAAAAGATAGAAAGAGCAAGAGTGTGAGAAAATTAGGGGGGGGGGAAATAGACAAAGCAAGGCTGTGGGAAAGCAAGATGGAGAGAGACCAAAACAGCAAGACTGTGAGAAAGAGAGAATTAGGATTCTAAACCTGTTTCCTCTCCTCTTCTCTTCTCTTCATCCTTTTACATGGCCTCGTGCCTGTTCTGACAAAGTTGCTGCTGAAGCGGACAGACAAACCACAGTGCTGCTAATGGCTGAGAGCCAGATAGATATTAGTGACACTTTGAGCAGAATTACTCCAATCACAGAGATCCGACTCATTCCAAAAGCATTACAACAAATTAAAGCTCTTGATTAAATCCGCTGCATGCCAAATGCTTACATTACAAGCAGAACTAAACTTGCAGTTTATAATGGACTTGAACTAAAAGGGCATACAGTAGATTTGGCCCTGCTGTAAAATGAATCAATATACAGCATGAATAATGGTTCCATCCTTTTGGCTCTAGGACCTCGTATCTGTCACACTTGTTCTGTTGCTGTATAAGGACTATGATACACTGGCATGTGCAGAAACCAGTAAACCTTGCCAACAATAACAAGACATAATATTTTCCATCACATTTTATTTGCCAGCCCAAAATCACCTTTCCATTTTGTCTAAAAAAGTTGTCCATGTTTCATATTTATTCAAGCTTGGCTCGCAGTAAGCAAAGCGCTCCATACACCTCAGCAGAATGTGTGCTGAGCTAGAATGTCAAAGGTTATGTTTTCAGAAAATATCAGAAAATAGTGCTGATACGGAAAATGGGGGATGGTCCACTGATATAAAGATTCACATAACAACAGCTTTTAAGCCTTCACCTAACTCCCACCATTTGTCATCTCTCTCTCTTTCTCTCTCTCTCTCTCACTCGCTCCGTGTCTCTCTCTTTAGGTCCAGACACTTACTTGGAGGGAATAGACTACATTAAGTGTCAGTACGAGAGCAAGAACAAGTCACCCAACAAAGAAGTCTACTCCCATGTGACCTGCGCTACAGACACCAACAACATCCAGTTTGTCTTTGATGCTGTCACTGATGTCATCATAGCAAATAACCTGCGGGGGTGTGGCCTGTACTGATGATTAAATGTTAGCCAATAGATGATGGGTGTTTGACTTGTATTTTCCAATGTGAGGTACCATGTCAGTGATCTGATCACTATGTTCATGATGTCATTATATTGCTTTACCGTAAGACTCGCCATTAGTCCAACTTAACTCTTAATTAATGAATTGATTGGTTGAGTAGTTGGTTGGTTGAGACTACTTTTAAGGTATTTGTCTTTTTTACTTCCTTCTAAAGAAGAGCTAATTACTGTAAAGTTACTGTATTTGTGCATTTATTTATAGCTCCAAATCTTTTGCTGGTGTGCTGCAGAAATCTTGCATAACACCTACAGTCGGCTCTACAAGGATACAATGTTCCTGAGACTGGTTTGTACGTACAGTAGTGCTGTGTTACTCAATTAACTAGACAGAATGCAAATGAAGTGCAGCCATCTTAGGGGTTCACCAGCAGTCCCGAAAAATGGTGTAACAAGAATTATGTCTCTACCCCAAAGTATTGTAATTGTTTTTATTTAAATTTGATTTGAATATACGAGTATGTCGTCCAAGCAGTATCAATCAAGTTCATTTCAATCTCAGTTTGCTTCAGAAAGTTGTTCTTCAGACTTGATCATGTGCATGAGATCTTAGACTGTTGACAAGATTATGTCCAGCCTACTATAAAGAAATGCAAAGAAAATAGAAATCAGAAAAAAAAGCATTTATTTATATTTTATGAAAAATAGCTTCAGTAGCACCGCTCCTTATCGGGTGACCGTCCTGCTCAGATGTAGTAGTGTAGTTTCCAACTGTCTTGTTGCACTAAGCCATGCTCTTTTAACTATTGAGCTCCAAAATGACTAGTGTTCAATAAATAAATGAGACATAATGACTTAAATCATCATATGGATAAATATAGAAAATAATTGATGAACCACTCATTGTGAAATTACTAGATAAAAGTCAAACGAAACTGATTATTATGATGTGTATTATTTTCACAATAATTTATTTCATAGCACTTGCCGAGCCTGCTAAGAGGCTGGGACCAGCAGCGGAATAGTAACAGAAAAATGTCAGTGAAATGAAAAATACACTTCCAAAAAGAGCATTTTGAGATTGCTTTAATGAAATAAGCAATCACAGTGAACCATAATGAAATTACATATAGCATTTAGAGTTTTAATTGCGTATTAAATTAGTTGAAATTGTATTAGTTTTTATATTTTTCTTTACTTTTTCATATGATGGTTTAGTTGTCTAGTTATAATATGTATTGGTTTAATTTTGCCCCTTAGTAGTTCCATATTAACCAGTCTGATGCCAGAGAGTCCGCTGCAGCTTTGCCAGTCACTAGAAGCACATTCATGATAATTTGTGAAGGTTTATGTGTGGTACTGTTAAGCTAGCGATTGTGTATTAGCCGCGCTAGCAACTGTATTGTAGCTAAGCTAATGGCTCAGAGAGGCTAACTCTCCGATGAATCAGTCTGGTGGTGCTTCGAAAGCACAAGCCTGCACTGAAATACTAAAGCAAAAACCTAGCACAAGTACTTCTGTAAATGATGCATCTATTGTATTATATTAGTATACATTTGAAAATGAGCACAGTGGTTTCACAGCTGGAGGGGGGTGGGCGACCCTCCTCTGATTAGAGAGCGTTAACACTCTTTTTTCATATTAATGTGATGACATAAAGTATTCCCAAACTCTTTAACATAATGATTCCACAAGTAGGATCAATTCATCTCATCCTAAGGGAAGAGGGGGATTATCAGAGTGGGCTGTTCAGAATATTAAATGTAATGAGACCAAAGGTAATCCCACTTATGTCTGTTTTACTGTAAAGTGACATTTCTATTTTTTTACTACATTGCAAATTGATGGTACCTAGGATGATAGGTTCAGCCAGTATATCCAACTTAAATGTGTAGGATTTGAACCTTTTTGACTTTGGCGGCTCCTCTTCGTCATATCAAAGGTTTGGCTAGGATTGCCTCATTTTTCAACAATCAATACTTCATTCGAATCAATTGAAAAAAAATGATAATCAAATTCACAATTGGGATTCAAGAAGAAAATAAAATTATTAGAAGAAATATTTATTTTGTGTCATTTGACTTAAGCATAGAGTTGACGTGCTCATTGACAGTTCAGTCATTTTGTTCAGTTCTGTGGGGCATCAGTCAAGGTTGGAGCAATGGTAGCTTATAATTTTTATTCAAAACCCAAGCAGGAGCTCATACAGCAGAACTCAATTGTGTATTTCCATGTTGCTGGGAAACTGCTTGGTTATCACATAACCTTAGTGTTTTGGCCTTAGATGCATTTCATTTGGAAGTAAATTTGTTCTTTTTCCCTATAGAGGAAGGTAATTGAAATTGTACTTTTGATAAAAAATTAAAAGAGATGAGCAGTATAATTTCTTGTTTTTTTCCCTTTACCTTAAATGTAAAGCTCATATTTAAATTTACAGTGAGGACGTTGCTATCTATGTTATTTCTTCTGCCATCACCCCTCATCCATGTGAATGTCACCTCTGCTCAAATGTCAGGATTGGTTTTCCAGGCCCTCTTGCTGCAGCATGCATGGGTCCACTATAAAACCACTTTAAACAGAGGAGCTACAAGAGGTAGTGTGCTGACTCAACCACACAATTCCCAAATAATGCTTCTAAGGAAGCATTGATTTTATGAGGCCCTAGGGCCGCATCCATTGTGTGGGGCTGCACAGTGTAATATCCCTATCGTCCACCACTCTGCCTTATTAAGCCAGAGGTGAGCTTTGAAAGATTGTGTGCTGGTGAGTACATATGTTCCTCTGGGACTCGAATGTCAATCTTGTTGTTTTAGTCCTGATGTTTTGCTTTCTGCTGAGCGGGTTCCATTTCTGCTGAATGGTAGTCGTCCCAGAGCTGCTGTTGGATGAGGTTTGATGTAGTGCACAGCTTGGGGGGAATGAAAAGTGATGTGTGCAATCGGTGGGAGCAGTTCAGGTTTGAGCCTTAATGTTAAAGCCAAAGAGATGCATATAATACCAGGAAAATATCATTAGCTCCTCCCTTCTTCCTTTATAAGCAACAGTTTACAGAGTCGCATAGAAACTGAGCCTTGTTTGTCTGTGGGACTTTGTTGATTTCACTGAGCTGAGTGTGTTTACAGCTTTACTGCTGTGAGTGCTCCCTGGCAAACAGAGGCAGAGAGCTTCTTTATTTATGTATGAGCGGGGCATTTGCTATATTCCACTCTTCCCTCGACACTCAAACAGCGAGGACGTGTCTCCACCCTCTGCTCAAAGCTGCGATTTTTTTAAAAAGGTAGACGACGTCATCGGCTCTTCCTTCCACATCTCTGCAACTTTTTCTAATTAGAGAACTGCCTAAGGCTGTTGATCAGCCTGCTCTGTGTGTGTGTGTTTGTGTGTGGTTATGTCTTTGTATCCTGTGTGTAATCGTGTGTGTTTACAGATTGTATATAGTCACTTATATGTGTGTCTGTTGAGAGTACGGGAAAGGTCAGTGTGTGTGTGTGTTTCTGTGTCTGTGTGTGTGCTTGTCTACGGTGTGCGCGTACGTGCTTATGATGTGTGTATGTGTTGTGTGAGAGACAACATCAGCCCATGGGTGTTGTGGTGGAGTCAGCATCTGTGGATTAATTACCCAGAAGGCACCTGTCTACCCTTTCCACACACACAGGCCCTCAACACACACCCACACATACGTACACACACACACACTGAAGACAAACACACCCATGGGGCTTCAAAATGTCACAACACCTTTCTTGCCGGTGCCAAAGAGAGCTTTTTTGGTTCTTTTTCCAAACATGAAGCCTGCTGCTGAAGGCTTCTAGTGTCTGATCTTCTCCATTGTCTAATTCATTACATGATGTGAAAGGAAGATCTTACTGCATTAGCTCAATGATTGACTTCACTTCCCACTTCTGTCAGCCGTGACACTGCAGGGAAGCCTCCCTCCTTTTTTTTACAGTATATCGAGGTGTGTGCATGTCCAAGTGTTTTTCGACAGGCAAGTTTTGTTTGTAATTTGCGTAGAAGCCTAGTATTTTACGTTGACATGCTGAAAACAATAGGCATCTGTGCATGTGCACAGTGCAAGACACAGAAGTGACAAAACAGACTATTCTGACTATTCTGACTTTTGCACCTGAATCATGCCCTTGCCCTTTACAGGCTTTTTCTGTCATGTGTATGCCCTGCCGCTGTAAAAGTGGCCTGAAGTGTGATTAATTCATCGTTTGTTGAATGACTGAATAATTTAGTTTAGCATCATCCTCACTTAAAGGTTGGGTGCGTAACATTTAGGACGATCTATTGTCAGAAATGGAATATAATATTCATGGTTATGTTTTCATT